CTGCTTCTGTGGCAGAGTCAAAGTACTACATAAATGCATACTCCTGATTTTCTAACCTGTTAAGTACTTTTCTCCCAGTTTCCACTTTTACAAATTTCTTTAAATCTCCTTATGAGAAGGTTAGAGGAGTGTTAACTTTTAGTAAGATGTTCAAGAAAATGAATAAAAGCAAAGAAATAGCAGAGAAAAGAAATTTTTAAGTAAGTCATTTGTTATAACATCAAGAATGGCTTTAGAACCAGGGAAAAGTGGAACTTAGGTGCTAGACAATTGCTAAACAACCGAAGTTAGGAGGGAGTGAAAGCCCAGCTGCCCTGTAAGTAGGAGTCAAGTGAACATTGTTTTGCTGGCTTGAAAGTCAACCTAAAATTATAAAACTATTTACAGCCATTTTAATACTTGTAGATTATTTTCTCAGCTTTTATCTAAAAAAGATACCAAAAATAAACTCCCCACCTATACTGATAAGAGCAGAGTTGATCCGTTTTCAAAGTCTTGAGAAAACTTACCTTTTCCTTGAATTTTCATGGCTGCTGTGATCTCTCTGGCAGTGGGCTTCAAATAATAGATGGTAGAGGTATTGAAATATTGGTAGTGATAGCTATCTTTATGGAGCACACACCGAACTCATTACAGCATAGACCAAGGCAGAAAGAAATTAGAAAGTGGGCGTAACTGGTAGTCTGGACAAGCTAAGCTGATCAAAGTGAATGAGATCAAGAGCCCACAGGGCAGCAGGGTTCACTGAGGCAAAAAGCCAAAGCTGATGCAAATAACGGGATGGCTGATGTGGGCTCACTAGCTTCTCCAGGAGATGTTTGTCAGTCCTACCCAGTACCTTAGGAGGTGATCTTACTTGGAGACAGGGCCTGCTGTAGAAGGCAGCAGAGAGAGCACAGGCTTAGTTATGGGGGGATGTTACATGAACATGAAATGACCACATATAAGATGGGACAGAGGACAGAGGCCTGGGCCAGAGCCGCCTCAGCCCCTGGAGCAACCCTTTCTCCCACTCTTATTTCAGGCTTCTGGCCCTTTGGATACCTGGATTTCTGTTGTCCGAAGTCCCATTTTGTTACAGTGACCCTCACAAAACTCCAGTGATGGTTTTGGAGGGGAAACAATGGCATTGTGTTGTGTGGAGATAACAGCAAAGGAAGCAGAGTCTGCTCTAAGACGAGATACACGTAACTGATCCCGATGTGTTTTGCTGGTAATTATGGGATGATATCACAGTAAAATAAAACAGACCTGCCGTGGGGAAACACCTGCCACCTTGTGAGTTTGCACTGTGTTCAGGTCTAGCACTGTGTATTCTATGGTCCTAGAGGGCAAGAAACAAGGCAGCCCTACATAGTAACCCATGGATAATGCACCGAAGATAACAGTCAGAGGAACCACCGCAAGGCAGTGAAGAGTGAATTGTAAGTCCCCATGAATTTAGATGGGTGGCTGAAACTTGTGTTTTCCATAGCTTAGATGATTTTTACCTCCTCTGTGAGTTACACCAGTTCATAGGAATGATGTAATCATAGATTTTTATAGTATCTCCCAGTGTTGTAAAACCTTATCAAATCATTAAAAACCCATAGGCTGAGCGCCAGCTAACACTGGACTGGATTGCCTGAATCGTAATGTCTGAACTGTCAGTCCCGAGCCTGTGAATTCAGTAAGGAGCAAAAGTAAATGATTCACGAAACAGTGTGAGGAAACCAAGGATACTGTCAGCACCAAGGCATTGAGAAGTGGAGAAAGAAACTGTGTTTATCATGTTGCTGTAAACATGGAGAGTGGACAGGAGCACAGCACAGAGAATGGACAGGAACACAGCATGGAGGATGGACAGGAGCACAGCATGGAGGGTGGACAGGAGCACAGAATGGAGGATGGACAGGAGAACAGCATGGAGAGTAGACAGGAGCAAAGCATGCCATGGACAGGGGTGGCATTAGGATCTGTGAAGACGAAGGAGTAGCATATGAGGAAGAAACAGGGAAAATCTCTTTCAGTGTGATCATCTTGAAGTGTTAAGAGAGAGAGGTCTGATCTTCAAGTTATCAGTGCAGGGCCTGAGGCCAGGAAAGGAATTTTATTGGTAGTAGGTCTGAGTGGCACCCTTGGCAAAGATTGCTTATAGAGGAGAGCTAGACAGAGTAGAGCAGAGGTGCCTCATGCCCTGATGGTGAAGGGAAAGGAAGGAGGAGAAGGGGATGAAAGAGGGAGACATGGGAGCAGAAGAGAGGCTCAAAGGGGGAATAAGGGAGATAGTGGGAGAAAAGTGGAGGCATAAGGGGAGGATGATCAACAGGAACAAAGTATGGAAATATGAGACCCAGTATTTGTATACTAAGTTTTGAATGAAGGATGAATCCCAGAAAATAATGTAGCGGTGAATCCTTCTGAAGAATCTGCTGGGACTGTGTACTCAGCGTGAGTGCACAGCACAGCAGGGTCACAAGGCCTGACTCTCCAGCCCAGGCATACCTAGTCAGAACCTTTGGGGTGGAGCATGTCCATTTGTTAGCAAGCCCTACAAGGCTTCTCTGAGAGATTCTAGTCGTCATAAACTTCTGGGTGACTGAGGAAACTGTCAGAGAGCTGCAGTGAATGCTGATGTTAACTGTAGATCTGAATCTAAGGGGAAAATGGAGACATGTTGGGAAGAACACATACATGAAATAATGCAAGCGAAAACAGAAGAGAGGACGGCCACAGGAGAAAGAATGGTTATGTTGTGGACCACTGACCTCCCTGTGACCAAATGCATGACAGGGAGGCATATCTTTGCTTATGATTCAGGGGCTGCAGTAGTCCACCATGGCAGAGAGAACATGCTGGCAGAGCGATGGCTGCAGCTGATGCTGCCCTGGTGGGGGCATGCCTGCTCACATCTCAGTGAATCAGGAAGTAGAGACAGGACAGGAAGCAGGCTGGGCTGTGAACCTCATGGCCTGCCAGCTTAGAGACTCACTTATAACTAATTTCCACTAGTTATATAACTTCCACTTATAACTAGGTCCACAGTCTCCTAAACAGCAGCACCTACTGGGGACCAAGTGTTCAAACCCATGAGCCAGTGGACAATTCACACTTGAACTACAGCAGGCAGATAGTAGGTAGAAATTGTATTGCAGTGAAAGCTGTCAAGGTAGGTGCTAAAAAGATGGTTCAGCTGGTAAGAATGTATACTGCTCTCGCAGAGGACCTGAGTTTCCTTCCTAGTACCTACATCAGGCAGCTCACAACCGCCTGCAGTTCTGGTTCCAAGGGATCCAGTGCCTCCTTCTGGACTCCATAGGTACCTGCACTCACACTTGCACAGACTCACGTACAAATGCACATTACACACATGATTTTAAAATCTTAAACTGTCAAAATAGAAAAAGATTAAGGACATGAGGAGAGCTAAGGACACCCCTTAAAGATGCAGTGACACAGATGACCAGCAGAACAACCCAGGTAAGTGGAGTCTGGGGCCTGTGCCCTTGCCCTCCTGTCCTGAAAGAGCACAGAGGAACTAACTGGTGCAGCTGGGGAAATGAGCATTCTATTGTGGAATCTCAAGAGGTCATTCTAGTTCTTAGGAAAGGTGCTGCCATAGAGTGGATGATCTGAGATCGTGCGCAAGCTCTGCAGTAACTCATGGAAGCGAGTCTGCATTTGGGAGGGTAAAAGTATGGCAGCAAATCATCAAAACTAGAAAAAGTCTACAAAGAATGCAAATGGTATTAGTACTATTTTTTTGAATCAAATTTAAACCCGAAATTACTGTAAAATGAAGAGTTTGAAGGGCAAGGCTGATCATTTCTAATTATAGTTACTCCATCCCTTGGTGAGGCAGCTTACCATGAGTGGTAGATGAAGGCGAAAGTGTTTAAAATCTCTGTCCTTCAGTCTTAGTGAACTCAGATTTAGTGATTTTTTTTTTTTTTTGCAATAAGAGGACAGTTGAAAAAAGTCACATGAAAACATTGCTTGAAAGACAAGAACATTTTGATATTAAAATTTTAACATTTGAACGGCTGTAATTTTAAGCATTTAAAAACAGGATTATTGTTTACCTGTTACAGTGTGATTTGAAGCTGACCAGATATGGAAAACACATTTGACTATTTCTTCACATTTTTTTTTTTGTCCTGTAAGCATCATGTGGACGAAATAAGAATTGTTTTCTATATTACTTTAGCTTTTTCCTCTGCACTGTATAATTCAAATAGAACACCCAGGAAGTAAGTCTGGTTGTTTCTTTGCAACAATATCGAGATCTAGAAGGGCTAAGGTGAACTAAAGTGCTCAGTGAATACAGATGGCATTTCGTGTGTGTGTGTGTGTGTGTGTCTGTGCAGAGTGCATGCATGCTTCCCTGTGTGAGTGTACACATGTGTGTCTGCAGAGTAGATTCATGTTTGCATGTGTGGATGTGCACATGCATGTGTGTGTATGTGTGTACACATAAGTGTATGCATGCTTTCATGTGTTGCTGTGTACATGCATGTGTGTGTGCAGAGCATATGCATGCTGGCATGTATGTGGGTACATGTTTACCTGCGTGTGTGTAGTGTGCAGAGTGTACATGCACACATGCACCTGTATATGAGTGTGTGTTTGTGTAGTGTGCAGAGTGCATGCATGATTGCATGTGTGTGGACACACATGTATGTGTGTGCGTGTGTGTGTGTGTATCTGTAGGTCCGAAGCTTACGATATATTTCTAGGTTGTTCTCTCTGTATTGAGACAGGATCTTTTGCTGAATTCAGAGTCTATAGTACTTTGCTAGTCTGGTTAGTCACTCAGTGGGTTGTCTATCTCTGTCTCCCAAGGGCTGATGTTACAAGTGGCTGCCGTGGCTTCCTGGCCTCTTCGTGAGTGCCAGGGATCAGAAGTCAAGAACTGAGAGCTATCTCTCTAGCCTGACACTTGCCAATGTTTAAAAACTGAAGAGCCATAGCCTTACCTGGGTTTTGTAAGCAGTGGTGCAGAACTGTTTTCTGTTTTGTAGATATGGACGTGATGAGGCCCTTAATAAACGAGCAAAACTTGGACGGATCGTCAGACGAGGAGCAGGAACAGATGCTCCTGCCTGCACAGAAGCACTACCAGCTGGATGGGCAGCACGGGATTTCGTGAGTGCCAGGGCTCGTGGGTCCTCAGAAATGTGAGCACAGTCGGTGCTTCACACGACGCTGCAGATGACACGGGGTGGTTAGGAAGAGTGAAGAGTCACACTCCCAGTTGTTAGCCGTCTGTGAGAGAACGGCATTACTGAACACTGTGGGGATTTCTTCAGCAGGGTGGACATCAGATCTGTGTCCCGCAGAGGCAGATATCAGTGAGAAGACACGAATGTTATGTGTGTTCGAAGAATGGGAAGGAGCTGTGGGCGTGGGAATGGCCCGTGCAGAATGAGACAAGCTCCTGGTGGAACGTATTATGAAAGCCCGGTGTCTTAGCATTAATTTTTTGCATTAAATTTGAGCATTAAATTCTTGCATTAATAGTAATTTAGTGATTTGATCAAGAGTATAAACTAAAAGAACAAAATAACAACAAAAAAACCCTCTAGGCAGTTATTTTTGTTTTATGAGTTTGAGTTTTGTACTCCTCTTAACTTCCGTTTGTTTCTTCTTGGTCAAGGAGATCTCCTCCAGTGAACTTCCATGGTCAAGTCCGTAGGGAGCTCATGATAATATAAATTGCTATTTTACCTAAATATAGCTTAAAAACCTGGATACATATTTTTCTTCTGTGACTTCCTCTTAGGGAGACCATCATAGATCAAAGGTTTAGAACTGTGATTATCTAGACTGTTTTACCAGCCAGATCTTCAGTGTTTTTGACACCATGGCAGCAAACTGGCCTATGAGAAAACTGTAGTTTTAATTTACTGTTCTGTGTGTACAACACTTTCACTAAACAGTTAATTTCTACAACAATTCTCTGTACTTGCCTTTTGTTGAGTGACGATAGGACTGGAGCCTAGGGTGACTTATTGCCTGCTGGTGGGATGGGAACAGTTCTTTGGTATGGGAACAGTTCTTTGGTATGTGAGTCCCTAGGCTGAATTCTTAAACCTTAAAATTTTCACTTTCCAGATTCCTGCAAACTTTGATGCATCTTCTCAAGGGCAACATCGGAACTGGCCTCTTAGGGCTCCCCTTGGCAATAAAGAATGCAGGCATCGTGGTAAGGCTGTCTATGCCCTCCATTCCACATACAGTTATTTGTCTGCAAAAATGACTTCGAAGCACCATCTAGCCTCATCCAGTATAACCTGGTCAGAGGACATGTAGGTGGCCATTGGCTATTGTTCTGATACAATGATGTCAACTGTAATCATGGTACCTGGCCCAGAGGGAGAATTACTGTTTTCATTTCTATGTGATTACTTATTTTTAATATTTAACAACAAAAGCAAGCTCTCAAACCTAACACAGGTCTTGATTTCTGAAGATGGGTGGGTGTGTCTTTTTGGGGGGTTGTCAGGGACTTAAGCAGCATACCCATAGCAACAAATGTATTAAGGGAATGGATTATTTTTATGGTATAGCTTCATTAGTATTTTAGCGTCAGAATAAATATGTGTGCAGTACTCATACCTAAGAAAAATACTTGCAGTGAGTAACGATGTCTTTTAAACACAATTAAAAAATGGTTAGAGACAGTTACTATAATTACTGCATTTGAGAACCTTGTTGAGGCAGATTCATGGATGAAGTAAATTAGATATACTTGGTTTTGGTTGGGTTGGTTTCCATAGAGGGTTGTAGCTGTCCCCTCTTTTTGCAGGTCTAGCAGTCCTATGTGTAAAATAACTGGATTTTTGATTGTTTAGCTGAGCTTTGCCTTGGTTGTGCTACCCTACGGTAATCCGGGCATCGCTGAGTTTGGCGAGTACACACTTGAAAGTTTTCATATACTGTTTGAAAGAAGTATGTCCTAATTGCTGCTCCTGACACCCGCTGCTGCAGGTTCTCAAAGAGTGATCTGTAGGAGGGTAATGATCTTTTTGTCTAGGCTGTATGAGTGAGTACTATACCAGTGAGACATTGATGCTATAGATTTGTCTTGCTGTGCTGGATGTGACATTGTGTGCCACGTTCTTTGCTGAGTGTCTGTACTCTAACATAGGCTGTCAAGTCAGCCAGGAAGCATTGTCTAAGACTAATTTTCTTCATGCCTGGGATGATTTAATCATTGGATCCAACAATTTTTCATTGTAAATGAATTGTCCATTGAATCATTGCTTATAAGCTTACTCAGTTTTTAAAAAAATGAATACTTAAGCCTTCCATGTTTTCTTCTTTGCAGCTTGGACCAATCAGCCTTGTGTTTATAGGAATTATTTCCGTCCACTGTATGCACATATTGGTACGTTGCAGTCACTTTCTATGTCAGAGGTAAATGTGGACTCATTAAGTCTATTTGATTAATTGTAAAGTTTCATGTTTACTTAGAGCATCGTTGTGCCATGCATGTACTGTGCTTTGCATCTAGAGGTTATATTTCCTTCCACCGCATACACACAGCTAAAACACTGACCGTGGCACAGGCTGGCATTTCCTATAGTTAAATGTGGTCGGGGTCTATTCCCAGTTATCCCTTGGTGTTCTCAGAGGATTGGTTCCATAATTCTTATTGCTATCTACCAGTGCTCCAATCCCTCACACAGAATGATGAAGCCACTGCAGATCCTCCCAGATGCTAGTCATCTTTAATAAACTATTCATGCTATGCACACTAATATTTTACACTAGTTACCAAATAATGACAAGAAAAATAAAGTTGTATATGTAGTCAACACAGACATATGTTTTCATGAATTTTCCATATGCAGTTGGTTAACGCACCCATGAGGATCTTGGGGGTATGGAGGGGTGACTGAACTTTCTTTTTAAATGTTTATTAATATCGGTATGTGTATATGATGTATGTATGTTGGCACATGTATGGCACAGTACACCTGTGAAAGCAGGAGGGCAACCTTGTGGAGTTAGTACTCTCCTCCACTTTAGGGGACCCCTAGGGGGCTGAACTCAGGTTGTCAGGCTTTTGTGGTAAGTACTTTAGCTCCTGAGTCCTCTCACTGGCCCGTGATGACAGACATTCAAAAGGTGCTCTCTTGGGAAGATGGGGGTGGGTTATTTTATTTAGGAGAAGGAGAGTGGGGAGGTTCTGAGGAAACCTAGGAGCTGCACACTTGAGGTGATAACCTCAGGTCTTCAGTTCATTAGTGAGTTTGTTTGGGGCAGAGAACTCTTAGTGATGGTTACTGACAGACTATTGGAAAGATAATATGTTCTTTTTTATGTAACATGAAATGCTTCTTCTGAACAGTAAATTAGCCTTTAAAATGCTTTCGATTATAGTGTACCAATGGTCTGGTCCCAATTCTTTTCATTAAATGTTCTTGAAACTGTTTCATTTATGTTGTTTAAATAATGCTGTATACTCTAGGGAAGAAAGTGGAATAGAGAATGGAGACATGGCCCTGACTTCATGGAGCTGTTCTGAAGATTAAATGAGACAGCTTATACGGAACTGTAGTGGAGAGCCTGGCACACTGTTACACAGTGCTGTCACAGGATGGAATGATCTTCAGATGAGCACCATAGTTGGTGTTTTTAGATGTTTGAAATATTTCAATCAGTGAAGCATCAGTACAGAGTTGTTTGAAATCTGCAGATACAAAAACTTCAGCAGCTAGTAAAATTTTTTATGCCCACCACATGACAGTGATATTTTGAAATTTCTTTAGTCATGCTCATGAGTACACAGATGTTTGCACTTTGAAAACACATCTAATGTACAACCTTGAGTTCACAAATCTCTATTTATTTGATGCTATTTTCATGGAATGGCCTTACAGACCAATTTAATACTTTTCTGTGTATGTGTGTCCTTAACTTTCAGGTTTAAGAAGTCAACGCTGGGATACAGCGACACTGTGAGTTTTGCGATGGAGGCCAGCCCGTGGAGTTGCCTTCAGCGGCAGGCAGCGTGGGGGCGGTGAGCACTGGCCTTTCTTCTAATGACTGTGTGTTGAGGTTATGTTAAGTTTTAACTGCTTTCATCAAACAAGACATACCTCAAAGTATGACAAAGCTGTGGGAATATATTAAGTGCTCTTTACAGTTGGACAGACTCTGGTTCTAATCTCTCCCAGTTTGCTGTCTTATAGTGTTGATGACAATTGATAGGAGTCATCAGTCAGTCAGTCTGATTGTGCGCTCCGACCTTGCTCCGAGCCCAGTATTCAGGATGCTGTACCTGTGGTCTGCCATGTTCTAATGACATCATGTAGATACCTGGCAGTAGTTGTTCCCTCCTTCTGCATAACTAGTTCATGTTCTAGAACTTTCTAGTGCATCTCATTAAAAAAATCAAAACAAAATTTACCAAAGGTGTTTCCTTAGAGGTTTGATTCACACCTCCAGTCCTCTTACATTCTACTTTCTTATTGATTTGGGAGGTAGCAGGTACTTCCATGTGTGCAAATGACAAAGGCTACCATGAGGAAGATCTTGATAAGTAGCAGGGATGGGTGTGGTCTAAATCATGAATTTTTCTTCAGCGCTGAGGCTTGAATGAAGGTCCCTGGGTATACTAGGTGAAAGGCTCCACTAAGAGCCACCCCAAGTCTGAACACATTTCCGTAAAATCACTGGACAAGCAGCTGTTCAGACACAGCAGAATTGCAGGAGGAAGTGATGTTAAAAACTGCCTTGTCCCTGAATGAAGCAAGCTTCTACTGTCTGGGGTAGTCTAGTGCCTTACTGACTGTAGTGATCTTCACATGAAACAAGCGTTTGAGTGTTCACTATCTCAGTAAGTAAAAAGAAAACATGCTATTATAAGATGCTTTAAAATAGTTAATGAGAGAAATGAGCTCTGCTGACCGTTTAGAGCTCCTGGTGACGTTTCTTTTGGGATTGTGTTTTCAGGACTGTGGTCGACTTTTTTCTGGTGATAACACAACTGGGATTCTGCAGCGTCTATATTGTCTTTTTAGCTGAAAATGTGAAACAAGTGAGTATGTTCCTGAGACTGTTTTCTTTGGATGCCTTGTTTATTGCATGCTGGAAGCCATGGTTGAGGATAGTGACATTTCATCCACAGTCATTTTTTACAGACTCTTCTTTCATGTTCTCTTTTACCAGTTGGATTTCTGATGTTGTTGTTGGTATCACTGCTCCCGACCTTATGTCGACCCCACTTGTTCCTTTGGGCCGACTGTGGTATGGTTTACTGTTTCTAGATTATTTCAAATTCAGATCTCAAAAGTATATGCATAGAACTTGGGGTGACATTCTCTGTTGTTGATGTTCTTTAGAGGAGATATAAGATGGTCAGCAGCAGCTGAAAGCATGAGGTAAAAAGATGAGTGTTTATTCCTAAGGTTCAGTAATTGTTGCTGCTGTTTAAAAAGATTCAGAAAAAACCTGCCATCTTGTAGTCCCATGGCACATGCTGGGAAGAGAGCCTGTCTGGGCCCATGCAAGATGGCAGTAATGGAGCTTGTTATCCATACCCACCATGTTTACTTGCTTTTTGAGATGGCCTCACCTAGTTCAGGCTCATTTTGAACTTTCTGTGTGGCTCAGGCTGGCCTTGGACCTCCTGATCCTCCTGCACTACCTCCCAAGTGCTGGGACCACAGGTGTGTACCACCATGACTGGTCATTGCTGGGTCTTTCCTAGTTCTCCCAAGAGAGTTGCTAGCATGCCCTGTTTGAATGTAGGAATAATGCCTGTGGATTTGTTTATAAACTGTAACACAGCATTAACCCTTACAGTTACCTTACAGTAACTGCTGCACAGTCTTGTGCACATGCCTGACATCCCCTGAGCTTCCAGGGTGTTTTCCTGAAATGAGCCCTCAGTCATAGTCGGTACACTACTATGTTGTTTGTCCGTTGAGTACGGCCTTGACCTCGGGATGTTGGTGCCTCAGTTTCTAAAGCGTTGGGTTCCTACGTATGTACTGTCACACCTGGTTATCCATGTCTGGTAATAGCTTTATCACGGGGTAGATTTTTAGGTTTGATGTGTATGTGTGTGTGAGAGAGAGAACATCTAAAGGCTTTGAGTGACTTTCTCTTATGAAACATTGTCTGTTACAGAATTTAATGGAAAATTTAAGTCATGAGAAGATGAGGTAGAAAAAGTGGCTCCCTGGGTGATTGGAAAGAGTAATTGTCTTTTATAGCTAGAATGATGAAAGTCTTTTAGAAGCATAAAGGGAACCACAGAAAAAGACAAGGAGCCGGACTTTAGAAAACAGCCTGAGGCAGCAGTGAGCACCCACACGGGCAGGGCAGCAGCAGTCACAGAAGTGTGGACCTGGACGTTGTCACTCTTGGGAGAAGTTTTCCTTCCATTTGGTGGCAGTGCGGATTACTGTACACACTGGTTAAAACCCACTCCTCAACACCACCATAGGCAAGAACTGTGGGATGATCTCACTGGTCACCAGTGTCACAGTTATACACTGTGCCATGACCTCACTGGTCACCAGTGTCACAGTGAGATGCTGTTGGGGTGACCAGTGTCACATTTAGACACTGTGGGCAACCTTACTGGTCACCAGTGTCACAGTGAGGCACTGTGGCCAGTGAGGCGCTGTGGTATGACCTCACTGGTCACCAGCATCACAGTTAGAAACTGTGCCATGACCTCACTGGTCACCAGTGTCACAGTGAGACACCATAGCGTGACCTCACTGGGCACCACTGTCATGGAGCTTGATTGTAGAGGGTGTGAATTTTATTGCCTCTCTCATGACTGTAAGCTGATGGATAATTTCCCTCCTCCTTCCTCCCCTGGTGACTGTACTGCAGGTTCACGAAGGATTCCTGGAGAGCACAGCGTTTGTTTCGAATAGCTCAGATCCTCAGGCATGTGAGCGAAGAAGTGTGGACCTCAGGGTCTATATGCTCTGCTTCCTCCCGCTTATAATTCTCTTGGTCTTCATTCGTGAGCTGAAGAATCTGTTTGTACTTTCATTCCTTGCCAACATTTCCATGGCTGCCAGTCTTGTGATAATTTACCAGTATGTTGTTAGGGTAAGTGTGCTTTTGGGTAACCATGCTGTGCTCCCATGTGGGCGAAACTCCCTTTGGAGGTGACAGTTGTCCCATGGAGAGACCTGTTCCACATATGTGGCACACAGGCAGCAAAGGTTGATTTCCCTTTAGGGCACAGTGTTAACGCCTGAAGGAGACGCTAAGATGTGACAGGCACAGGTTTCAAGTTGGTCTGGTGTGAGCGCGGATGGGGATGTTTGTGGGTTTGTTCAGTGTTTCCAAACATCCCACCTTCCCTGTTAGAGCGCCTGTGAGATCAGGATGGTGCTCTTACTACACAGCCTCCAGTGACTCAGCTCGTTGAGGTCCTGCACTGGTGCGTTTGAGCTTTGAGACAGCCACAAGGGTGGGTGTGTATGTAATTCCCACCTGCCCTCCACGGCCACAGCACCAGTTTGTGACTGCTTTGTTTGAAGACCGTGCAGTAATGGGAGCGGAGGTCACTCTTTGAAGTCTCAGCAGTCTTAGGCCAGTTACATTGGGCAGAGGCCAGTGGCCCACACGAAAGTTGAGGATCCCTGTTTTATTCCTCACGACCTAATCCACCTTTTATATTACTTGCAAGATAATAAAATTTCCATTAAGAGTTCACACAAACTCATATCCTGGGTCTGCTTCACTTTTCCTCCCCCTGGCTTCTCAGATCGTTAGGAACGAAGGTTGCCTGAGCCTTTGTGAGGCTCACAACTCCTTAGCTGGTCATGTGGGTGAAGCCTGGACTTGGTGGAGCAGAGAAGGGGGATCCCCCAGGAGAGGGAAGAGCACAAGGAGGGACACAACGCACTGCTCACTCGAGTGACAGTTGAGCAGTAGCAGATGATCCAGACATTTTGGTACCCTGCTCGCTCTGATCCCTGCTTCTCCTGTTAGGAAATTCTGCATATGCCCTAACTGTTCCAGGCTCCACCTGCCCCAAGTTAGCCACATGCCTCCACACTCCAGTCTGTATATCTTTTTTTCCTTGGCCTTGAATTCCACTCTGTAGTTGAGGCAGAGAAGAAGATGGTGGCGAGGAGGGACTAGATTGGGATATCTGGAGTAAGGCCATTGTGGTCAGTGGCTTTGAGCCAAGTGTGCTGCAGTGACTTTGTCTTGATCAGGACACGGGGAAGCGTTATAAGAGTTGGTGCCAAGCAATTAAGGACACTTGGGCACACAGTGAGAAACAGGTTGAGTGTGAGCAGGTTGTGTGTGTTCAGTGGGGTCACACAGTGTGGAACAGGTTGCATGTGTTGTGTCAGAGCAAACACCGAAACCAGAGGAGACCTGTGCCAGGGCGGCTGGGAGGGAAGTCAGGAGGCTAGGAGTCTTAGGAAGATGAAGACATGGGGACACATGGAGCCAACAGCCATGCCTGGCGTCTGGGGGTCTTTCTAAAACAGCAGGACATGTGCCCCGTGTGCTGCCTGGAACAGTGGACAGATGTTCTCAGGAGGAATGTGTGGGTGTGAGGGAAACAGTTTCTTCTGCAACTGTACCCTAACAGCTTAGCCTCCCTGAACATAGGATATAGAAAGCACTTACTAAATTTCGTCACCCTGCTTGCTTTGTGAAGCTTGGCAGAATGTGATTTTGATTTTGCTCTTTAATTTTAAATAATTTGCGTTAGGTAAAGCTATAACCTCGTTTCTTTGGTTTTTTCCCCCTCTTTTCTGCAGAACATGCCAGATCCCCACAACCTTCCAATCGTGGCTGGGTGGAAGAAATACCCACTGTTCTTTGGTACCGCCGTGTTTGCATTTGAAGGCATAGGAGTGGTAAGAATTACCCATTACTTTTTTTTTTTTTTTAACTTTTAAGTTAACACAAAATTTTATATAGTCAAACTATATAAAAATACCTCAGCCAAAGTGGCTGAGTTATATAGCAATTGGGCAGGGATGGGAAGAGGAAGTCAGCCCTGGGGAATGGGCGTGTAAGGTAAGGGGGTTGGAGTGAGGAGGGCTGGGTGGAACCATGGGTACTGAGACTTGTGCTGGATCTGAGACTTAACAGTGAGTGGGGAAGACTTGAACTGTTGTTTTTTTTTTTTTTACTGAACAGTAACTTAACCTTAGAAATGTTTCTTCGGCATTTAGTCCTTTCCTTGGTAGGCTAAGTGATGATATTAGACTAGATTTTTAGCGTTGTTGGGAATAATTTTAACCCTGTAAGAGCCTTGTGATAGCGTACTGAAAAGTCTTGTTAGCATCACATAACCTCAGAACTATAGCTCACGGACAGTTTTGTTTTGTCTATGTTGCACATATTCAGACATGCCCAAAGAGAGCATTTTTTTTAATTTTAAAGTTTCTATGATGCATGTGGGTGTTTTGCCTGCAAGCGTGGCTGTGCACCAAGTGCATGTCTAGTCTCCATGGAGGGCAAAAGAGGGTGTTGAGGGCAAAACTGGGGTCACAGGTGATTTTGAGCCCATTCTCCAAGAACTTGGTTCTTTTCTTGGAGCGTGGCATTTAGAATTAAGATCTCCATGCTGAGCGTGCTAGGTGAGGAGTATTGCTTCTAACCCCTCAGGAGCAGAGCAAGTAAAAGCTCACATATGTATGAGCACACACATACATGTCCATAAGTGCTGTATAGTGTGTGTGCGCGCACACACTTCTGTTTGTGTGTGAGAGAGAGAAAAGTAGGAAAGGGACTACAAAAAATTACAAATGCCATGCTCCAAGAAAGGAACTAAGTTCTGTGGAGAAAACTGTCAGATGAAGACTGAAACCTTGAATTCAAGATGAGTCTCTATATAGGCCAGACAGAAAGGGAGTACTCGGAGGGTCAGTGATGAGGCAGTTGGCACAGTACACACACCTGATGGCATCACAGTGGCAAAGGCTGGAGCAGGATGAGCGAAGAGCGCATGGCAGAATGTTGGGTTGCAACTCAGTATCCCCAGCAAATCTCCAGAAGTCCACAGTGGTGTGAATGATTGAACTAATGATTTTTGAGGTAGAGTCTTGCAGAGCCTCCTCCTTCCAGCAGATATAGATAATTCACACTTAGTTCTTGGGGAATGGGCTAGAGTCAGAGACCCGGAGTGTGGTGAGGGGTTGGGAGACGGTGGCTTTACAGCAGTGGCCAGACTGAACTGCACAAGTCATCAATCATGATGGAACATGTAGCAAGAACAGCAGCTCAGGGGCCCATAGCACCTGTCTAGTCACAAGGAAGGCGTTAGGCCAACCCAGATGAGAGGGGTGTCATGCAAAGGATTTCTATAAGTCAAGACTGAGAAACCAGACAGATTACAGGACAACGAGGGAACAGGGTGATAAGTTCAGTGTGGTGTCCTGGACAGGCTCCCGGTACAGAAGAAGGTCATTCCCGAAAAACTAGAGAAATCGAAATGGAATTTGGGGTTCAGTCACTAGTGCTTGGCCAGTGCTGGCTCAGTTGTGACAACTGGTAACATAGAATGTTAATTGTGGGAAAGCTGTTCTAAGGGCAGGTGGGAGGCATCTGTGTTTCCTTTGCATTTTAAAAAAAATCTAAAATTATTCTAACTAGAAAAGGCATATAAAAATAACCAGCAGGTCGCCTGCCAAGAGCTGATCTTCAAATCTTTTTAGGAGTTAAAAAAAAAGTAATATAAAAATCTACAGAGCACAGGGGCTGAGGAGGTGGATCAGTTGGTAATGTGCTTGCAGCACAAGGGTGATCCCGTCACCCACATAACAAACTGGGTACAGGTGAGGCAGTGGAGACAGGTAGATCCCTAGAACTCACAGGTGTGCAGTCCAGCCCCGTCAGGAAGCTCCAGGTTCCCTGAGATCCTGGCTCAGAAAACAAGGTGGATGGAACCAAGGTGTGCACCTTCAGTCGCAGAATGTAGAGGGGAAGCAGAGGCAGGCAGGCTCTGAGTTTCAGGCTGTGCTGCGTTGTATGGTTCCAGGCTACACTGTGAGACTCTCTCTAAAAAAGCCCCAGGGCCCGGGTGGAAAGCGATACAGGAATACACTGGAATCAACCACACACCACGTAAACGGGAGAATATACACACACAAGCATACATACATAGATATGTCTCCATATCACATAGGAAAATAGCACTTATATGTGGCATGAAGGACTTTTTTTTTTTTTTTTTTTTACAGACTACAAAAGGCTAACTTGTGAGAGACCATGGTTATCCTGAAAATCCTGTATCCTGTTCCTTTAAAAATAGTTATGTTCTCCTCTTAGGTGCTTCCGCTGGAAAACCAAATGAGAGAGTCCAAACGCTTCCCTCAGGCACTGAACATCGGCATGGCGATCGTCACAGTGCTGTACATCAGCCTGGCCACGTTAGGCTACATGTGTTTCCGTGATGAAATCAAAGGCAGCATAACACTGAATCTTCCCCAGGATGTGTGGTAGGTGGAGCCCACTTACCGGCCCTCGCTTATGTGTTTCAGATATAATTGACTAAGATTCAATGGGGAAGATATGTCTTTAGATTTATGATTTAAGCTCTTAAACCTTTTACTATGATTTCATTATCTGTGGAGACTAAACACGCAGTTGACAGGCTCTTAAATTTTTAAACATGAGACATGGGGAGAAACAGTCACAGTCTTATTTACCGAAAGCCTTAGTGGAAAAGGAACTGAAGAGCAAGCATGCAGACAGATACACGCTCCTGTTCCCAGCTAAGACGTGGAGGACCGGGCAGGACTACATGAAGTTAGAATAGAGCAAGTGAGACTTGAGATTCAAAGACTGCTCAAGCAGAGTTTAGCCTCAAGAAAGCCTAGCAAGTCACCTGATTTTTTAGCTAGAAAAAAAAAAAAGCCTCCAAAAATCATCCTGAGACACAGTAGACATTTTGAAAAGCAGAACAGGTCAGGGTAGAGAGAAAGAGCCTCTCCACAGGGTGGGCTGTGAGCAGCCTGCCTTCTGGCTCACTGTCTGCATTTGTGGACCTGTTAAGGTAATAAGAGTTAATAGTCCCCTGGCTGAGAGATTCGGTGGCGCTGTCCTTTTAGAGGTTGAAGTGTTCTGGAAAGTGAGAATGGGAAATGGCCCTGGGATTCTGTGCTTCTTCCTGAGCTCCTGGGCGCAGCTCAGCGCACAGCTCTGTGGGTACTTAGTACTGAAATGAGAACAAAGGTTGAAAAGCTGAGAAAAACCGTTACATATCATTGAAAGTACAGATGCCAACTGTCAAAATAAATGGGTTTTCGAAACAGAAAACAAGTAAAAAACGAAATGGATGCTTTTATACAGCGTGTTTGAACAGCTTTACTGTATTACTCTTGCAGGGCTGAAAAGCCAGTTTGTGTAGTGCTCACTTCTCTAGCATATGAAGAAAAAATTGGAATGGTGTTCCATATAACACTAATTAATAGCACTGCATATAGAATGGCATTAGCACTAATCACGCCATAGCCTGTGTAACTCCAGTTTTATGTCAGTGGGATGTAATTATGTTTATATGCAAAATAGTGTTTTCATTTAAAGTATATTATCACTCATACTTTGAAAACACACAATAAAATATAATTAGAAGAAAGCAGTGTTCCTCTTTTAAATGAATAATGAACTAATGAGAATGTTTATTTAATTCTCTATAATTGCCTATCAGAATATGTGAAAAAAAAAGTCATTTGCTAATTTTGCATGTTTTCGGTTACAAGCATTTATAGTTAACTTTTAAGGCCCTAGCTAAATACATCATTGGGTAATTTTTAAATTAAGATTTACTATTTCCAGATTTGAGGATTTTCCTTGTTCCTAATTAAGTTATTTGCCTTATTTTCAAATCTACTTTTACCTAGCCCTATTTCTTTTACTTAGTCTTAAGATGACTGTGCTGTGGAAAAAGCCTATTGAATCCTTTCTTAGGCACAGACTAGAGAGCTGTTTCTACTTCTTACCGCTACAAGTCTGGAGACGTCAGAAATAAGCATAAGCCCTAATTAATCGCTTTGCTGAAAGTAGAGTCCTTTATATCCTTTTAGGATAATCGGATCATTGCCAGGAGAAGTGCTCTCCCCTGTGTATCCCTCTCTCGGTGAGGCTGTGGACCTGGCTGTTTCCACAGGGAAAGAACACAGGAGAAGGGGGTCACAGCCCCACACTGCAGCATAGCCTCTGAGACACAGCATACCCCAGCTATAGCCTCTTTCCAGTGTGTTCCTTAAAACATGCAAGTGGACATTTCTGTTGATTATTTTAAATACAAAAACAAAAAAACACCCCAAAGTGTTGAAGTATGGAAATGCAGCTTACTAATTTTATCATTCATAGCTCAGAGGAGTTAGGTTCATTGTTTATCCAGCCTTTAATTCTATACATTCTCGCCATTTCACTGACAGTGCCACTTTCTCTAGACAAAGGTATATACTGAGAAGTGCACTCTGAGAGAGATGGCTCCACGCATGCTCATTCAGAGCACTTGCTGGTCTTCCAGGGGGCAAGATTCAGTTTCCAGCACCCACATGATGGCTTACAGCGATTTGAAGTTCCAATCCCAGGAAATCTCTTCTGGTCTGCAAAGGCACCTGGCGTTCATATGGTGGATAGACATACATGTAGGCAAAACACAAATAATAAATAAATTAATTTTAAAAACATAGAAAACAAAGGGCATGCTGAGTTTTAGCAGGGGGCCATCACCAAGCTAGAAATCTAAAGACTATCATACACTTTATACATGATCTGAAATACTACTGTTTACAGGGAACCCTCCAGAGATGACCACGCGAACACAGTTTGCAGCCAATTTAAGTGTTTATTCTAGCTGGCTGGGACTACACTCATGTATTTGGGCACCCAACTTTAGCCCTGAGCATTTGGAGTAAGGGGCTTTTAAAGGCAAAAACCACATCCTCCTGGTACCTCGCTTGGCAATTGCATGGGAAGGTTTAATGGAAGCTAAGATAAGCAGTTAGCTGGAGGGGAGGTTTGCAAAAGCAAGCAGTTTAACAGAAGCTAAGAGAAGTTAGCTGGGGCATCTTGACCTCAGCTTCTAGAATATATATGTGTAATTTTCCATGGGATTATCTATCAAGGAGATCAAATTATAATTAAACCTAAAACAACATTGGCCACAATAAAAGATGGAGGAATAGCTTCCTTGCCTTGCCCTGTTGTGCTACACTGGATCCTGTTAATATGTGTAACCCTCTGTGTATCACATAAAATGAGTAATTAGAGAATTCTAAAGATGTGTATAATACTGAACATTGATGCACAGTTTTGAAGTCCTGACCTCAAAGGGATAAGTTTACACCACAAAACAGCAACAAATCTGTCTCCTTACTGCTGTGATTTTAACACATGGAGGACGTGCAGCTTAGAGAACTCTGCTGGTTGAAATGATTCAGATGCCCTCCTTGTGACCTTTGCCTAACAAAAATGTCAAGCAAGGAGAACTCAGCTTCAGAGCCTAATACTTTTTTTCCTTCTACTTGTAGATCAGTGAGGCTGTGACTCAGTATTTTAAAGAAGTAACAGGATATTCAAGTTTTTACAGAGTAGAAAAAAATACTGCCTTGGAAAGCTTTGAAAATCTCTTCTTGGTGCTGAGTGTGAGCACAGAGTACTATCTTGGCCCTAAAGGCAGTCTTCTGAGCCCCCAATTCTGTGCTCAACCTACCAGGCTAGTCACAGCCAGGAGTCTGTATGAGAACTAGACACGAAAGTTAGTGAAGGTTAGTTCCTTCTTTTCTTCCTTGAGACAGGTTCTTACTCTGTAGCCACATCCTGGTCTGGAGATTACTACATGTGTAGCCCAGACTGATGCGGAGCTTACAGCAGTCCCTCTGCCTTGGCTTCGTGAGTGCAGGCATTGTAGCTGTGCACCACCACATCTGGCTTGGTTGGCTCTCCCACAGACAAGCGTGTCCAACTAGGAGGGTTCTAAACTGGCTTATGTTCTATTGTCCTTGTTTGCCCTCTAAAAATTAAAAGGAGGAATGTCAGATTCACAGTAAGAAAAAACTGAATGTTGAATTTCTTTATTCCAACAGGTTGTATCAGTTGGTGAAAATTCTGTATTCCTTTGGCATTTTTGTGACCTATTCAATTCAGTTCTATGTCCCAGCTGAGATCATTATCCCCGGAGTTACTGCCAGATTTCATGCCAAATGGAGGCGCATCTGTGATTTTGGGATACGGTCCTTCTTGGTTAGTATCACTTGTAAGTATCAGGACATGTCTGTCATAGTAGCTGACTTGCATGTGCTAAAATCAGAGCTGCCTAAATTATGCATTTTGCAGACAGTGAATTTTTAGAAACAGTGCTATGTTTGTTTGCAGATGAGGGGAGCTTCGAACTTGCTGTCTTCCTGCCTCAACTTCCCAAATTCTGAGATGACAGGTTTGCACCACTACTCCTGGCCTAGTGTTAAACTTAGCAAGATTTGCCCAAGAGTGAGCTGGGCACTGCTCAGTGCACCACATCAGGACATCAGCTTTGCTTGCCTGGTTAAAGTAGCCTCAGCATCTTTCTACTGCAAAGACAGAGTTATGCTAGGGAGGTAATTTGCGACTATTTATATATACAGATCTCATTCAGCCTTAAAAGTTTTGGTATTAGAAACAATCCCAAGGCCACCCACTGTAATCTGAGTTAATCCCCAAATCTTGGGTTTTTGAGACAGAGCCTTGCCATGTAGCTCAGGCTGACCTCAATCCTAAGGTCTTCCTGACTCAGGAACCCAATGTCTAAAGGGCTTGAAGCTGGGTTGCCACACAGCACATCTCGCTTTGTCCACTGCTTTTCATCCTTCGTTGCCTCCTCCTGCTCGATGACTGTCTGTTGCGTTGTCCTGAAGCGTGCTTGATTAGAATCCCCACCGTAAGAACTGATGCTGTCCTTGCTCCTGTTCATTCATGCCAAACCACCCTGTTTTCTGCGTCACAGACTCCACTGTGTGGCTGGCGGAGGAATTCAGTGCTTTGAAATAGATGCTCCGATCTCAGAGCAAAAAATTAAGAGTTGTTTACATGAGAAATGGTTTGATAAGTATAAGTCCAGGAAATATTTCTCAGAATAGATTACGCCAGTTTCCCTATGGGCAGTGACTTCTGCTAATTACTTTCACTGTGTCAAAATATCTACATTTAGTTCCTACATGTATAGCACACATGCCAACAGGAACCATATGTTTCTTTTCTCATAGGTGCTGGGGCAGTTCTCATTCCTCGCCTAGACATTGTAATCTCCTTCGTAGGGGCTGTGAGCAGCAGCACGCTGGCTCTGATCCTGCCCCCCCTTGTGGAAATCCTTACATTTTCTAAGGAACATTACAACATATGGATGATCCTGAAAAACATTTCCATAGCATTCACTGGAGTCGTCGGCTTCTTGTTGGGCACGTATGTCACCGTTGAAGAAATTATTTATCCAACAACAGGGGTTGCATCTGGTACCCCACAGAGCTCCTCTCTGAATGTGAACTCTTCGTGCTTAGCGTCTGGTTTGAAATAGTGGGAGAAGATGTGTGAGCCCTCTGTTGTCATTCCAATTCTAACAGCAATTAAGAGCCAGTACAGCATAGCGCGACACACCTAAACACAGTGCCAAACTCTTGTTTTTGTTGGCAGAGTATTGCAATTTGACCATGAACTGGATATCTTTTGCAGCTGTGATAAACTATGGCAGAGTCTTGCTTTTATCTCATGACAATGAAAAATTTAAAATTAGCTTTAAAAATCGAAAGAAACTTAATATTAAAAACTTAAACAATAAGCATGCCCTATTTATTCTTTGTTTTTATAAGAAACACTTTGAGTAAGAATTGTCTTTCTTACCACTATTGAGAAGATAAAGGACTTAAACATTATAGAAATCAAATAGGGGCATACTTCACAAAAATCTCTCTGGAGTGTCCCACAGCATTAAGGAAAGCTAGCCTCTTGTGTATGGAAATGCATTGATAGTGTTTTTATACCATGGGAAATGCTTCTGACAGGCCCTGGAAGGATACGAGATTCCCATTGGCCATCATGTAAGCATTAGAAAGTTCCCAGAGCCACAATCATGTCATTGTTCGGCTATACGGCCAGTGGAGCTGCATAGTCACTGGTAAGCACTGAGCAGGGTTCTGACCTCCTGTGTCAGTCGTAGGTGAAGAGGCCATTAAGTTTCTGGAACACTGCTCCCCTAGTTACTGTCTTAGGGTTCCTATTGCTGTGATAACAACACAGGACCAAAGGTGACTTAGGGAGGAAAGGGTTTCAGTTTACAGTTCCACATCACAGGCTATCTTCAAAGGACGTCAGGGCAGGAACTCAAACCAGGCAGGAACCTGCAGGCAGTGACTGATGCTGAGGCCACGGAGGAGTGCTGCTTACCGACTTTCTCCTCGTGGCTTGCTCAGCCTGTTTCTTAGAGCACCCAGGGCCACCAGCCCAGAGGTAGCATGCTCACGACGGGCGTAGCCCTCCCACTTCAGTCATCATCTGTGGGAAAATGTCCCCACAGACGTGCCTGCAGGTTAGTCTTGCAGAGGCATTTTCTCCATTGAGAGTCTCTTCCAAAAGGACTCTAGGTTATGTTAAGCAGACACACAACTAGGCAGAACAGTTACATTGTAGGAAATGGAGTCCCAGAAATGTGAGGTGACTTAGTCAAGAGCACTTAGCCTTGAGTCAAGAGAACCTGATATTTGACCCAAGGAACAGATTTTTGTTTCTTTTTTTTTTCTTTCTTTCTTTCTTTCTTTCTTTCTTTCTTTCTTTCTTTCTTTCTTTCTTTCTTTCTTTCTTTCTTTCTTTCTTTCGTTCTTTCTTTCTTTCTTTCTTTCTCTCTCTCTCTCTCTCTCCCTTCCTTCCTTCCTTCCTTCCTTCCTTCCTTCCTTCCTTCCTTCCCTCCCTCCCTCCTTCCTTCCTTCCTTTTTTCTTTCTTTCCTTTCTTACAGTTTATTCATTTTGTATCCCACCTGTAGCTCCCTCCCTCCTCCCCTCCGAAATCCACCCTCCCTCCCTCTGCTCCACCCACACAGATTTTTTAAAAATTATTTTTCGTGTCACAGTCAAGCATGAAAAACCACATTCAGCTTAATTTTAGTGTAGAGTTTATTTAATTATATTTTCATCCTTTGAGAGAGTATGCCTGATCTTTGAATAGTATATGTGACATGATAAAAATCCAGAAAAATCCAAGAATCCAGCCTGGTGGCTTCATAGACCTCGAAGGAAAGAAAGGAACATTCCCTTAAGCAGCAGGAGACTGGCTGGCTTTGGGCTGTGCTGGTCATTGGAGGTGAGGTTCACTTAAGCAGCAGGGACTGGCTAACTGCAATATAGTCTAGATACCTGACAAATTACAGAATGCTGGATCTTTCTAGCCCCATAGCATTTCTTCAGCCTTCCATTGATCTGAATGGGCAGAGTGAAGGAACCCTAAAATGCATGCTTAGGAAAATGTGAAAACAAACAAACAATTGTCTAGTAAATACTGCAGACATCTTCCAGAGAAATGCCTCCTTCACTCCGTCTCCAAACACGCTAGCCAAAGCAACCAAGCTCCTTTGATGGTGAAGGTGAGAATTAGGGAGTGTGAAGGAGTGAGTGCACGGTCATCTCCTGGGCCTCTCAGCCCATTGGTTCTGTAAGATGTTAGTCTGTAAGATGTCACCGAGTTATCTGTGGAATTCTCTATTTTTCTATGTGAATGTTAACGTACTCAGATTCAGCTCCTCCTTACGCCATTACTCTGTCTTCAAGTATGAGCCTGTAAATACATCAGAAGCTTTATTTTGGTATGCATTCAGAAGAACCAAAACTTTAAAAACATTATGTTAGATAGTTCCAATAATTGCTTATGGTATTTTATGTTCAATTGTTGCTTCAAGTCTTCAGTCTTAGACAGAGAAAGCGGATGAGGTTATGAGGAAAGTAATTTCATTGGAATTTGACTGAAAAAGAAATGTGTTGCACATCTCCAAATTATCAACACAAGAGAAGTCACAATTCTGAGAGGGAGACAGGCTGATGGAAGAGAAAGTGATTTTAATTTGTAATGTGAAACACTGTTTAGGCACAAAGTGTAAAAGACATGTACTCTTGTTTAAGGGTGCCTGAAGACATATTTATCATTTGATCATTTTTCTTTGATACTTAGTCTTATAGAATTATATTTTATAAAGAGTTTTTGAGAACGTATTTTGATTCTAGCAGCCATTACTTTTGTTTGGGGCCTGGAGGAAGAGGAAGTAGACACACATGTTGAACTCATGTTGGCTCTTTTGATCCATCATGTGGTGGCTGAAATTATTCTAGCAGTTACTTCCTGCCACTGTGGGAACGTTGCCTGAAAGCTACTAAGTTGTGTGGGTCCCATTTCCACTGTGAAGCTGTTGCTCACCCCCCATGGGCTAGACTCTCAGCCCTTCGCCATTTGTCTCTGTTCCCTGACACTCCAAGGAGTGTTCGTGCCCGAGTCCACTCATCCAAACACTGTTCCCACGTGGCTTTTTAACACAGGCCCTTTCCCTCCATGTGACCTGGGTTTTCCACAGTTGAAGTAGGAGCTGGGAAGTTTTCTGGTTAGATGGTACCACTTAAAGAAGACAGACCCACTTCTTTCCTGCTCTGTTCTCTCTGACTTGTCACCAAAGCTAGTTCTTAGTCTTCTTAGATGATGGATATAATGTGTTTATAAGCTGTTTGTGGCAGGGCACATGTGCATTTCCTAACAGGGTTTGGTCTTCCTTGGTGTCTATATTCATGGTCCTAGAAAATGTCAGCTCAAGTGCACACCCGCGCCATTTCTAGGGGAAGTCTTACACAGCTGACCTGTTTCGCTCTAGTCCCCCACAGAGGGCAGCACAGTTGTCATTTGCAGCATACACTAGGCCCTCTCTCCAGCTCCCTTTTCTTCAGCCAAGATGGGAAAGATACAAACAGAGCTAATGGAGATAATAAATACAGTTGTTTTTATAACACCAGTGGCTCAGCAGGTGCTAACTGTTGAGCAATAAAATAATTTGTTAAAATATAAATAAAGCATCAATAGTTTATAAAATGTTGGAAAAGGGGTTTATTTCGATCGGTTTTGCCCAAGCTCAGTTATCTTCCCTTAATTAAGAAAATGTGAGAAATTTGCCTATCAAGGATAACAGGATGCCTCCTGTCATTAAATGGCCTCATGTTACTTGGCCACAAGTGGATCTGGATCTGGTTGGTTTTGACCTAGCATATAAAAATAAATATGCTTAAGATATGACTAGGCCTAGAATTTATTGTCTAATGAGTAAAGTGACAAATCACCTATTCAGATTTCTGTTAAAATTGGTGGTTTCTACATTTATGCATGGATGTTACCCGATAGGGACTCACATCTGAATCCATTTCAGCTGCTCTACCACAGATAGGACCAGGATGATGTTCACATAGGAAAATATATATTCATGACACGGACAATTCAGGCTACAGGTTTTTGTTTTTCAAAATGATTTTGGAAGCTTTAGTGAAAGAAAAGTTCCATTAGACTTGTGTCATTTCTCGTAATTTATTTTTCTTTGTAAAAGAGTTTGAAAAATGTCTGAAAGTGCTGTAACATCTGAATTGTCAATAAAGTATAATTATTTTGCTTGCTAATAAATGCCTTTTTAAGTTTTCTGTTCATAAGATTAAATAATATGGAAAATATCCTAGCTGAAAAAAGCATCTTCTTTTATTAAAGTTTTAAATCTTATTTTATTTATTATTATATGGCTGCATGTGCCATAGTACATATGGAGGACAACTTTGTGGAGCTGGCGCTCTCCTTCCATCTTTACATGGGGAGATTTTGGGGATCAAACTCAGGTCCTCAGGCTTGTGTGGCAGGCTTCTTTAGCCACCGAGACATTTTGCTGACCCCTCACAATTTTTTGTTATTTAGATTTTATTTCATTCCTATTACTGTGTGTATGTGTGAGAGAGATGTGTGAATATTTTCATAATGAATAGTGCAAGCAGTCTTTATGATATTAAATGCCTCAAAGATTTAAGAGTAGATTAAAAATGAGAGGACACTCAGAACCATGTACCCAGTGACATGGATGGCTCAATTTACCACTTCCTTAATTTCAAAAAAATCTAAAATATGTTAAATGCTGACACTACTAAGGACTGATAAATGTTTGAGATGATGGGCATATCAGCTCCCTGACTTGAACACTACGTGTTGACTTATGTTTTAAAACCTTACATTGAGCCAGGTGTATTGGTGTGAGCCTTTAATCCCAGTACTCAGGGAGGCAGAGGCAGGTGAATCTCTGTGAATTCGAGGCCAGCCTGGTCTACAAAGTAAGTTCAGGACAGCCAAGGCTACACAGAGAAACCCTGTCTCAAAAACAAACAAATGAAAATAAATAAAACTTCACATTGTACTCCATAAATATGTATATTTTTATTTTATTTTTTTAAATTATATGTATAATTTTTATGTGCTCTTTGAAAAAGCCTTGAAACTGTTAGGTATCAGTTGTATTACTTTATTTATAAAAATGAGACTGGTTTCAGGAAGTATTATCTCATCCCCTATCAAAGGAATCAAAGATGTTTATATCTTGACTCCCAGGAATTCTGATCCTGTGAACTTGAGACAAGGAAATATCAGAGTATGTAAGAAACTCTCTACCAAGAGAAAAACTGAAAAGAACCCAACAGTAAAATAACAGTAAAACACTGCTGGCCAGGTGTTACATAAGAAGGAGCTGAGACAGGAGATCTGAAATTCCAGACCAGGCTGGACCACTACAGAAGACCCATCTCAAAAACAAAACCAATCAACAAAAATCCATTCTAAGTAGACCATGTGTTGGATTCACAAAAGAAGAAACGCAAGGGCATTCCTCCCTCTCTCTCCATTGTAATATGTCGGGCGATGTCACCCTAATGAGAAGCCATGTTCACTCATGCCACCATCTGTGATTAACCTCAAGAAAGGCTCATCCTGATGTGTGACACAAAGAATTGAACCTGGGCCCCTGCTCCAGGTGGGAAGCAGCATGAAGATCTTTCATCAGTGCCACTAACACACCCAGAATGTGGCTTCTAAAGTCATCACTGGAGGGAAAAAATAAGCATGGACTGCAAGAAAGAGACACCATTTCTACCTTCGTGTTAATACCTGAAAATAGTCACATGGTCTTCAGCTACCAGTACAAAGAGGGGCTGAGAAAGCACACATGTCAGGAAGAGGAGGTAGGGTGGAAAACATCTATTGATTTTCATATGAGACTCTAGCGAGAGTATTAGTTGATATCAAAAGGCAATTGCGCTATTAAGTATGATTTGAAAATATGAAGTGTAAAACTAAAGCACAATAACTCCTAAGAAAGTTTGAATTTCAGGAATCCTGTTTTGGGATATTCTGTGGACTCCTGAGAAAATTGCATTGGCGCTGCTGACCAGAGGGCTGTTTTGGCAAGCTGCTGTTTGTCCTTTACATCCTCCTCTAGCAGAAGTGATGAAGTTAGCAAGAACGGGCCCACCCATTTTCATCTCGGTCATGAGCACTGGAGAGCCAGAGCAGATAAGGCCACCCACTTGGAGCATCCCCTCCCACACATCCTCGTCCCATGCAGTGGAAGAGATAAGAGACTCGGCATGGACCGAAATCTGTGGAAGGCTGATCTTATTAGCACTGCCAACTGAGTATCCACATGGGACCCTGATGAGGCAATGGTGGGAGACTCATTTCTGTTACAGTAAGTGGCAAGGGATCTGGGTTACTCAGCTTTTTAAAAAGCTAAATTCCTACTTCTAGTTTTCTGTTGTTATGATAAAACCCCCTGATCAAAAGCAACTTGGAGAGGAAAGGTTTTATTTGGCTTACATTCAAGTCACAGTTTATCACTGAGGGAAATCAGGGCAAGAACTCCAGCAGGCACAGAGGCAGAAACTATGGATGAAGGCTGCTGTTTTAATTACTTCTCTATTGCTGTGAAGAGACACCATGACCAAGGCAACTTACAGAGGGAGGCATTTAACTGGGGGCTTGCTTATGGTTTCAGAGGGTTAGCCCGTCACCATCGTGGTGGGGAGCAGGGCAGTGTGTAGGCACACATGGCACTGGAGCAGCAGCTGGGAGCTCACATCAGATCCACCAGCTTCTGGCAGAGGGTTGGGGAGAAGGGAGAGAGAGAAGGGAGCAGAGGGAAGAAGAAAGGGGGGAGGGGCAGAAGGAGGAGGAGAGGAGAAAGAAGAAAGCAGAGAAGTAAGGAATGGTATGAACTTTTTAGAACACAAAGCCCTTCCCCCAGTGACATGCCTCCTCCAAAATAGCCATGCCTCCTAATCCTTCCAAAAGAGTTCCACTAACTAGAGACCAGGCATTCAAATATGAACCCATAGGGGCCATTTTCTTTGAAATCATCACAGCTACTTACTAAATTGTTCTCTGAGTTACCCTCTGTTAGTTTTTTTTTTTTTTAAACCATCCCATGCACATTTGCTTAGGCATTCAAGAATTCTACCACTGACTACTTATGCTACCCATGACACACTTGTTGAGTGGCCACAGAGGTTAGGGCCCTCCCACAGCAATCATCAGTCAAGACAATTCCTTTCAGACATGGCCACAGGCCAATCTGATCAAGGCAATTCTTCATTTGAGGTTCCCCCTTCTCAGGTGTCTCTAGGTTGTGTCAAATTGACAGTAAAAACTGACCAGGGCAAGTTGCCATACAAAGCAGTGGGCCCCATGGTGGCACTTTTTATTCATCCTTGGCCTTATGCTGTGCTCTCACACATCCTTTCTCCACTTTCCCCTTCTGTATCTCCATGCCCTTCTCCCCACATTACCCACTTTCTTGTATTCAGGTTTTAGAATTCAAAAAGCAATAAAGAAACCTCGACTACAGAGAATATGGAGTAATATTCCACTGTGTTTTGACTCTGAAATTTTTCCTTTTCAACCCCCAGTTCTCAGAGTTGTGCAAGCACCATTCAAGGAGCGCAGCAGCTGAGATGAATGTAAATTTCCCTTCTAGGCATAAAAGGTGTCAATAAACATTTGATGAATGGAGGAACAGATGCAGAGACTAAATGCTGCAGGGCCCAGGGCTCTACCATTTTTCATTTAAAAGATAAAATCAGTAATTAAACCTGCTGTTTTGAGTCTTCCCATTTTTTTTCCCCCCTGAGACTTAGTAGCATGGTGGAAGTGACTACTTGCTGTGGGTTTTGTCTTTTTTAGTAGCAACTGCTGAGCATTCCAGAGTAAAAGGTGTGAGCAGTGGGCAGTACCAGCAGTAAGGAGCTGAGGCCCTCATGCTCACCCAGCCCGGTGTTCCCTCCCAGGCATTGTTCCTCACTGCTCTGAGAATGATGCTGTCTGACCCCCGTGTTTTGTGGCTTCAGTGTTACTTATCCTGTAGCCCATTTAATCCTGACGAACACTTGGCCAGCTGTAGCTGAGAGTCAGCACATGAGTACCATTGTTGCCTGGTTAGCTAGGTTTGAGGACTCTGCTGTGAAGTGAGGGGGGAAAAATAGAAGAATTGTGTGTGTGGGATCTGGGGAAATGAAACCATGATCATAATATAGTGTGTGAAAAATATCTATTTTCAATTAAAAACCCAAGTATTTAAAGTTTGTGAAAACGCTTAAAAAAATCTCCCTCTGTGTATATACTTAAACTCAGAAAAAAAAATTTAAGCAAGGAAATAAAACACCCATCGTCACTTTCAACTTTGACCACATGAAGAGATGAGGATGGAAATGATCTCTTGGGCCATCTTTTTGGGCACAGTCTAGGGCCTGTGACGTTCTAGTAAAGCAAACAGGTCAAGGGACAAAACAGGTCCATGTCAGTGCAGGGCTCTTTTTAGCTGTCATCTCACCTGTTTAAATCTTACATCCACACAAAGGAGGCACTATTATTATAACTGTTTCTAAGAAAGAAAAACGGGAGTTAATAAGGTTTACCAGCATGCCCAAGGGGCTAGGAGAGAACCCTTGGCCTGGCCCATACTAAACCTCATTCCTTTAGCCAACACATTACTGCTCTGTGCAAGAGGATGACACTGAACAGTTAAAGGTCGAGTTAATTATCATTCCATGGCGTCAGTCAACTTTAACGATAATAGCCCTTGGCATTTTTCAAAAGTCACACGATGTCCTAGGGACTTCTTAGAGGTGATTACATGATGCTTCCAGTATGTTCTAGCCCCCTTCAAAATGCCAGGAGACGAAAGAGGGGGACAAGTTCAAACTGGAGTGGGGAGCTGTAAGAAGAATCTCCTCTGATTGTAATAACAATGGAAATTTATGACTAAGAAATGGAATATGTTAAAGTAGCCTAAAGGTTTAAAGGATTCAGCCCGGTACAGGAGAAACTGGGTAGCTTAACTTTGAAGATCTTCAATACTTTTCATTACTAAGGAAATCGCAAACTCAAATTCAGCTCTTTGATAACATTTATCTAGTATCTTGATTAGAATCAGGAAATATTAAACAGCACCCCTTCTCTCTGCATGTAAGAATTACTTAGAAAAGTTAGGTTTTGATAATATTTTTCTGCTATTTAAGAATTCAAAGGAAATTAAGTGAGCCATATATGGTGATATTTCAATATTAATTTAATATGGTTACAACTTC